CATTCAAATATTTCTAAGCGCGTTTAGAATTTCCCTGGACATTACATTTGTTTAGCCGACGCTTTTATCCAAAGTCACTTACAATAAGTGCATTCAGCCGTTTGGATACAAGCCAAAAAATGCAGGTATCATTCATCAACGTATGAAACATGCAGAACTGCTTCTAGTGCTACTTTTAGAAACATAACAGAGAAAGAGGTTATTTTTTTTAATGGGCCATGGTGTGGTCCGAACATGAGTTTTCACTACCTGCATATCTGACAACAGAAACCCACCAGTGCTCCCTCTGGTCTCAGGTTGATCTGAATTGGTTTAGTTCGGTTTGTTTTTTACAGTAAATTGATTTGTAAATCCCATTTTTAATCCATCATTGTGATATTCAACATAACAGAACATCTATTGCATAACGATTTGCCAATCACAAATTCAGACATCATCCTTAAATTGTGTTCTTTTTTATGTGTTTTTTTTTGATGAAAATAATATACTAACATTTAAAGTATGACAGGGAGGGGAATTGATTGACCCCCAACATTGTCCAGGTGGCCCACACCTTACTGTAAACTGTAAACACACATTTTTAAATCTTGGTGGCCCTCTGGTGGACAATAATAAAAACAGAATAACAGAGGAGAATGTGTGTTCATCCTCACTGACACATTTACTGGACAAATGTGAGATTATTGACAAGACAAGTAAAACAAGGTAAGATTATCAGCTTATTGCTAATGTAACTTAACAGGATGTAGAAAAGTAACAATCAACTGTCAGTGGCTTTCCCCCTTTATGTCCTCTATGTTATTAACCTACCATTAAACCATATAAATGTATGTCGTGGCAACGAGCAGCTGTAAAGAAGGTAGAATGTTCTCCTAACTATATCTGATCACGGTGCATGATAACATGTTGCCTCAGGGCGCAGCAGAGACACTTTTTTACTCCCCATGAGAGCAAAATGTTGATAACATCAGATTTAAGGATATCACATGTTGCCTCGCTGTTACAGATGTCAAACTGCTCTCACTCATGAACATCGTCCAGGTCATTCAGTTTCTAAAATGAGGAGCTGTAATTTATGCACACATTGAAAGGCTTCAGTCATGGATGAACACATCATAACAAGAAAGTCTTGTTTTTTGGGGCCTCGCTGTTTCAGACAGCAACACAAGCTGCATTCAGCCTGGCAGGAAGTCCGGCGAGCCTCAATAGGCCGAGCTGTACTCTTGAGATTCGAGCATTGGACATGAGTTGGACAGCTCAACCAAATAAAAAAAATAAAACATATTTTCCCAAGAACGCAGATTGGGAGCCTTGAGGATAGTCTTATCTTTATTTGGCAGAACACCATTAGCCAGCCCACAGCAGCATTATAATTCGTTTGTAAGCTTTGCAACAGCCTGTTACTTTTTTCTAATAATTGATGCTTTCTTATTTGTTGTTGGCCATGCTAGCAGCGTTGCTGTGGGGATGGCAGTGTCGGTCAGACCAGAACAACTAGATTGATTGCCATGACATTTTATTCATGGTCCCCAGAGGATACAGATTTAGATTTATTGTCCCAGAGGGAGATCTGTTTCCCAGCCAGTGCAACACAGAAACAGATATAGACAATGCATAAAGTCTACATGAATGCTTTCATGATCCTTCCAGTATCCCAGCTCACAACAGTGTCAGCGAGGCAGTTTGTTCAGGGCTGCTATGGCAGAGGGCAGAGACGGGGACTTACATTACAATAGATTATAAATTGGAGACCCACTGTAAACAAGGTTGCACTCTCACTGTTGTTGAAAAATAAGTTCTGGTAATTATTACATGCCTTATAATGTTAGCTATATTTTCCTGTTACTCTGAGTAACGTTAGTCCAGATCGATTTTTGGCGGCAAAATACAGTTATTTACTTTCAAGGAAAGTTTTCAGCTTTTCTTTTTTTTAATTGATAAAGGAGTGATGATACAGTGCATGCTTTGAATTCCTTATAGCTTTGCAGTGTTCTAAGCAGACCGGATGGCATGCAGCAGATGACAGAAAGTACATTACAACTGTGAGAGACTTAAGACTTGACTTTGGACTTGCAAAAAATGACTTGTGAGCATCTCTGGCAGAAGGGACAAGACTCCCGCTGAAGCGAGCCCTTCTCCATTTTAACCTCTCATACCTCCAACCAGGTGATAGTAATGTAAAGTCTTAAGGGGGGTGAATACCTATCTGTTCTCTTTTCAGCAGGTTAACATTTTTGCCTATTAGTGACATTTAGTGACAATGCCAACAGATGGGCAACATCTTCACTTATCTTGAAATGAAATGAACTATCATAATATCTCCTCAATGGATTAGCAACACATTTTATACATTCATGGTTACCAGATAACAAACCCTAGTGACTGTGATCTTGACTTTTCCTCTTGTGCCAACATGAGGTTGACATGTGTGGGATTTTGAGTGAAATGTGTGCCACGACATTTGGTCATATCCTCCGCAGGATGAATTGTTATGGTGATTCCTTAACTTTTCATCTGGCGCTGTCATCAGGTCAAAAAATACTTCAGTTTATGACAAAATACCTGCAAGAACTAATGACATCCCCATCAGCCACAACTGTGTTTAGTGCTGAGTAGCAAAATATTAGCATGCTAACACGCTAATCTAAGATGGTGACCATGGTACCTGCTAAACGTCAGCATGTTAGCATTGTCATAATGGTGTGCTAGCGCTGGCATTTAGCCCAAAGCACGACTGTGCCTACTAAGTGGAATTTGATTTGTGAATCTAAAAGCATTTTAAAAAAAAGACATTTAATTAAAGAAAGACTGTGTTTTTAAGGAATAATCCATAGACCTCCCTGTGAACAACTGTCTTTACAAAACTAACAAAGACATATAGCAGCCCCAGTGAAAACCGCTGACAGCAAGCTTTGTGGCTCATCCTTCAGGATGGATGCATGAAACTCAGGCTGCCAGCTGGTCGTCACAACATCTGAGCCTTTTGACGGGGGGGTGCCCATTACCCCCCCCTGGCATTCCTTTTATTTCTTTTGCTGGAAGTATTTTGTGCTGTCCCAGCAGAGGGGCCCACTGCTGCTGGTGTTTGAAGAAGACTTGGGGGGGGGGGTGGGTCTTGTCTTTGGAAACGTCAATTACAGGATGCCAAATCATTGACAGGTGAAGTGGGTCAGAAAGGCCTGGCAGTGAATTGACAGCTTCACTGAGTCTAATCAGATATTGCAGTTGGCAGTTTTGAAAGTTCCCCTCCAACTGCACAAGCTCCTGGCAAAGGAAATATTCATCCTCTTTTCTTTTGGGCTTGTCATTTATTCCTCACATTCTTCCTTTTTTTATAGCAAGGAATGCTGGATTTCTCTTTACTTCAGTGGGCTGACTTCTTCTGAACGAGATGAAGGATCTGAAGTGTCCACGTGGGCGGTGCAACTATCACTTGCACATCTGAAGGCCTCCGTATTTGTGGTGCTGGGACATATTGCAAGCTCTTAAACCCCCCCCCCCCCGAGGCCACCAACAGACTAATGTGAGGACGTGAGAGATATCTTGTTTGGAAATTCTGACAGCCAATTATAGACAGAGCAGAGGTCCATTTTGGATTGCAATAGTCATGCATGGAAGTAAATATTCAGAATGTGCATAGGCTTATATATACACCGCTATTATATGACAGGCATTCACAATGAGTGATGTGTCAGATAACTTTATTATCAGATTTTAGTTCAAGTGTGCAGCCACAGCCTTGCAATGTGTAATTTCTCCTCTTTTTCTAGCTTTAGGTCAATAGTCTTGCTACAAAGCTGTTGTTGCAAAAATGATAAGCTGGATCTTACTTTTGGGGAAAAGCATGAAGCCAACATTTCACATTTTATGTTTTTTTGTATTGTCATTTACTGCAAGTACAAAAATGTTTAGTTAGAATGGAGTCCTTCTCTTATTGCTCTGCTTTCCCTTGAAACTTTAAAGGTAACGTTCCTTGTAAGGCCTCATTTATACAAATGTCATTATGGCTCAGAATCGATACGGGACTTCCAGCGTGTGATTTTAGTAGGTGTGGAGAAGAAGAAGAAGAAGAAGATAAGGATGATGATTAAGAATTGGCTCATGTTTGTGTATCGTGGATGAAAAGTAACTGACTGCATACACTAATTTTGCTGAGTATGTTTTTTCCTGGATTTATACTGTTTCAGTTACAATCTGACATCAGGCAATCTCTTTAGTTATTCAAGTCAAGAAGATTCTCGTTTTTTAAAATTGTTTTAATACTGTGCTCTTTCCTGTTATGAGGAAATATTTCAGAACCAGGGTAAACTGACGTGTGTTGGCACATGCAAGGAATTTCTCTCACATTTTAAAGAGCATGCAAACGCAGATTTACAGCGATGATAACAACATTTCATTTCTTAAATATAAAGAAATAAGTTGGGCAAACATACATAAAGGCCAGTATATACTATAGCGTTATGGTAGTGCAAGAGTGCATGGCGGTGCAAAGGAAACTAATAAATATGTATAGTTAGTTACTGTATAGACAGAGGTGATTTATGTGCATACATTAGTGGAGAGAGTATAAGTACCATATACAGTCTGCTTAGATGTAATATATTCATTCATTTTGAGAAAGCTTTTGTACGAAAAATACGACCACAACTTTAGAAAGCATCCCTGAATTGGAGAAGGTTGGTTGATAAATTGTAGTGTTAGTCTCATTTCAATAAATACTTTGAGATGCCACATCGGTCCTTTCACTGTGACCAAATGTGCAACAAATACGTACTACATTGTATTTTGTCTTGAGTGCTTTTCATCACAAGAAATATGAATAATTCCGTAAAAACGTTGCTCAAGCGGCAGTATTAGGCTACTGCTTCAGTAGGACAGTCTGACACACTCTCCATCCGTTCTAGCTAAGTGTATCTTCATCTACGTGCACGCGCGTGCCTGTAAATCTGCCATTATTTGTGCGCGTGCATTCTAAAAACCCTTTGGTTCACGTGCGGAAGGAGAGGGGTGGGGAAGAAGTGACTTGTGGGATGCGGCAAGAGAGAGAGGGAGAGAGAGTGTATGTGACTGACACAGAGTGAAACAACAGCGAGGCGAGCGGGAAAGAGAAGGAGCAGAGCAATAAAATAAATCGTTTGCCGTTAATTTAGCGCCTGACATTCAGGTTTGCGCAGACAAACGGCGGAAGAAAAAGTTCAGATCCCACTAACCAGCGCGTGGGAGTGGGAAGCAGGATCGTGACTGACTGAGACAAGCTCCACTGTCTGTCTCGTCATGGCAGGTAATTCATTCTACCAGTACACACACAAACACACGTAAACACCACGAACAGGGTGGTGTTTTTACAACAATCTGCTCCAACGAGCTCTCTGCCCGAACGGCTGCAAGATTTCGCTAACCCAGCCTAGTGTCAGTTAAGCTAACGGTTGCTAGCTAACACAATTTAGCAGCTAGTGCTAATGTTAGCCAGTCAGGAAACTCGAGTGTCATCGCCCATATATCTGGCCTGTCGTTGCCGGCTACAGCTAGCTAGCTAGCTAGCCAGCTGCTGCTAGCTAACGATAGCTTGTTTACCACCGGCCCGGGACCAGTCTAGGGCCAGCCCTAAACAGCTAACTTGTGCTTCTCAGACATGTGCACGGGCTTTACAAACTACTATTAAGTATCTTGATCTGCTGTTGATGTTGACGCAAATAGCTCTGCGGTTTTACGCTCCAGTCCACACATTTCTCAGACATGCCATGACTGGTTTGACAAGCCAGGCTAGCTAACGTTAGCTCAAACTTTGACATTGCCCACATGCAGGCTAGTTCTCCAGGCCTGCTGCAGACTGAACAAGCTGTTAAATATTCTGTGCAATGTCTGACTAAAGGGACGGAAGAGTCAAGTGAGCCAGTATTGGGGGCATAAATATGCGTAAGTGGAAATGTTCTCCTCTCAAGTAAGATTCAGATAGTCGAGATTTTTGGTTGCCTAACGTAACGTTAGCATTTCAAATTTCATTCATCAGCTGATACTTGTGCAGTGAGTGTAGAGTTGTTAAAAATGATATGCGGCTTAACTCCACTGTATCCAATTGAGATTGTTGGCTATTTATTAATTCAGCAAATAACTGGTCACTGCTGACATGTTTAGGGCGAGCATTTGGTCCATTTGGGCGGGGAAATGACACTGGTTTTAGGGCAGAGGCATTGCACATCATCCTTTTGTTGAAACTGACTGGGATGATTTGAACATTAACATATCTGTTTAATGTGTACATTTTCTTCTGCAAGGAATGCAGGCAATCTATGAGAGTGCTACATTTAGTCCTGACCAGCACCAACCCTGTCCTGGCTGTTTGCTTTAACATCATGATTCATCTCAGAATACTGTGTATGATGAAGCCACGGTGACTCATAAATGTCCTTCATTATTCTGCAGAGCTGTTCCACTATGTGTTATCGACAAACCAGACCAGTTTACATTGTGTTATAACAAATGATCACGTGTTAAAAAAAAAAAAAAAAAAAAAATGCTGAATTTATCTAGGTATGTTGTGCAATGAGCTGTGTTGTGGGATAACCTGTTGAGGCGAATGATGGAGGTCATCAAACAAGCCAGCATGTTTATTCTTGTTGATGTATTTTTATCTTACGAGTCTGGTGTAAGAGCATTTCCTGCCGGTATAACAGTGGCCCAGCCTTAAAATGAGAGCTGTTTCAAGACTGCCTTCACCTTTTATTACTATGATCTGGAGCTAAGTACATGATTTGCAATCAACTTGTCTCTCAAAGCGATAAAACCACCGTGCTAAGGCTCAAATTTAGTTTCTCATATAATAGATGCATTCATTCTTATTAAGTTAAAGATCTTTGACATCCAAGTTGCATGTTTCTTAATATTATAAATCATTTTTTGTCTCTTGATGTGCCCATAGCGTAGCTGGCCTTGCAGGTATCATGTGTGGAACACTTGAGGAAATATCGACATCTTGAGTTTAGTTTGAGAGAGAGAGTGCGCACATATATACGACCGCACATATTTCGCTACCATCTCTCCGCAGTTCCAACATCATTTCAATTATCCCATACTTGTAGATGTGCAACTATTTACAAGTATCAACGAGGTAAAACATTGTGTAGTTAATTACTGCCGAGCCACTCTGTTCCTTACATTGCACGCTAGCGGGAGTCTCGCGATGTCACAAGATCACGTGAGAATTGCAGGATCACATATCCCATATGAATGTTTATTTATTTTGTGTTTCTGCAGGACCTGGAGGTGACATGCAGTGGTGCTTCTCTCAGGTGAAAGGAGCCATCGATGATGACGTAGCTGAAGGTATGAGCTTTGCCAAGAGCTAGTATTTGTAAAGCACAGACAGGCAGAGTGTGTAACAGCAGCTCAACGTCTTCCACATTTGTTCCTTTCTCACCGGCTAGATGTCGCTCAATTTACCTGTGACGAGCCGTGATGCAACGCACTTCAACTGTGCACTCCCTGCTTTTATTGACTGGCTCGCCATGTGCTGTCATCATGTAGATGACTAGAGAGTAGGTGCCTTTTTTTTTTTTAAAAGGCTCATTATGTTAAACTCCCACGTAACATAATTCTCTGTGGTGCCACTTCTGTCTTTACTCATATCATACAGCAACCTTTTTTTTATTGGAGCTGTGTGTTCAAGTAGTGTTATTGCAAACCGATCTCCTCTTCCTACTTCACATTAACAACTTTACCACTGGAAGGTTGTTATTTCTACAGGAAGTGCAGCCTTGTTTATTACTGCGGTTAGTGACCGACTTCTAAGTCTTTTGTCGATCAATTTGGAATCAAACGGCAAAATATGGACTTTTTTTTTTTTTTTTTTTTCCAGAGGATGCTTTAGTATTTCAGGAATGAATGGTGAAAGAGTCAGCAGCCACAGTGAGCTGGGTAGATGAAGAGCATCAGATGACAGGTGCCACTTTGGCTTTTCCTGCATGATGGACTCTTTCTCGACTACAAGGAAGTTCTGCAGCAGAGCCGTCAGCAGGCCAGATGGCTGCTGATGGACAGAGGTTCAGAGAGTCTGAATAATATGTCCATGAGTGTGAAGGCTTATTAGACACAGTGGGTAATAATCCTAATAGACGGCAGCAATGATTTCCCACTTCTCTCTTAATTCAAGGTAAACGGTAGAATTGTTATTAAACACAACACTTCACTGTATTTTACCTCCAATGTGTGCGTACAGACGTATCTGGCCAGAGCTGTGTGTTTCCTGATAATGTTGCACTGAGTTGCCAATTTGTTATTTTGCCTACCCTCGTTGATGTAAATGGGGTGGACAAAGTGATACAAACACCACAAACAACTGCCTCCAAAACGCAGCGCTGTTGTTGGTCTTTCTGCGAAACTGTGGCTGCACCCAAAGAGATGCAAAATATTTTCCTCATGCAGAACATAAATGTGCAGAAATGCTCAGTTTGTCGAGCAGCCGTCCATCCTCATCAGCTGCAGGTAACGTTAGCGATGCCATGCGGAGTTTGCAGATAAGCTAATCGCTTAGCTAATTTTTTAACCGTGAAAGATTTTGGAACTTTTTGTGTTGCTGCTCAAAAAAGACTAATTGTTTACGTACAAGAATAATAAAGCATGTTGATTCTTTTGTTAATTGTGTTTTTTTTTTTTTGTTTTTTTTTCACTAATTAATAACAATAAGAGTATCGAAAAGAAACCGTACCGATGAGCAGTATCAGTATGCGTACAGGGATAGGATACCCATCCCTACTGACAGTAGAGTGACAGTAAAATGGTACATTATCCGTGGCCCACATTTTCACTCTCACTGTTCTTGATTTATGCAGCGTCTACATACAAAGAGGGACTTCCTCTATCATTAATATGTAATGCATCTTAGTGATGCGGGCAGTTGCTTTGCTGTGGCTGTGAGTTTTGTTTTTTTAAACTTGTGATGGACATTCCTCTTTAATAATAATAATAATAATGTAATTGCTTCCCTAGTAGAAGAGCAGTTTTAAGTATGTATAGTCCAAATATTTTGCCCCCTATTTGGCCTCAGGGTACAATGTTCACAAAGACCACCTCCAACCTTTTGCAGCATTGTCCTTCTGTTCCAGCGGGTAACAAAGGGTCAAATAAGTGTGTACGTGTGTGTGAGCGAGGTTCTGTTTACAAAGCAACATACTACTGCTGGGGGAAGCGTGTGATGCTGGGGGAGAAGTAGGTTACTGATCATTTTCCATCTGCTCTACATGCTCTGGCACCTCTGGCCTACACACTCGTCTATCTAGTGCACTCAGATTCTAACACAGATGCATTCCGGGTTAGTTGGCACTAAGTGAGTGGCTCCTCATTGTCTTAAGTATTTGCTCTCTCTTCACCAATTTAAAAGTCCATATTATAGGTGCAAGTTTAAATGTCCATGTTTTTTTTACAGCGGACATCATATCAACAGTGGAGTTTAACCACACAGGGGAGCTGCTAGCCACAGGAGACAAGGGTGGCCGTGTAGTCATCTTCCAGCAGGAAATAGAGGTACAAGTTTGTCTTTTGTTGAGTTTTATTCCCACACATGATTCATTTTAGAAAAGCTCAGCCCCTGACAAACAAAAAGATTATTCTAGAAACTATTCTGAAAGCAAAAACTGACAGAGGGACTTCATTTTCTGCTCAGGCAGACATTACTTCACTAGATCTTTACACAGGAGATAGTTGTTGGTTGCTATATTAGTGTTACGAATGCTAAATACAGTTACTTTAAATTAGTTGCATGTCTTTTGTCCGAAAGTAGTGGTCAGTTCTTATTTAAAAGATGGTTATGTCTTTTTCAAATGCAAAATAAAAAAGCAAGAGAGAGTTGTGTTTAAGACGAGGACGCTGTGTCGGCGTATCTCTACTGTCGTAGACTATAGGAACGGAAACACATCCAACATCTGCAACAAACAATCGACCCAGATGTGCAGATCACCCGGATGAGGAAAAAACGAACCCTGAGCCAAACTCCTTATCCTCGCTGCTTTCTTAGTCAAACATCTTTGTCCCCATTTTCCCCCTTGATGAGTTTGCATGCCTGAATTTAGAACAGAAGTGGTCATCACTGGCTTCTTGTCTAACGTCTGCTCCTTTCATCTTTTTGTCTGATATTTTGCCCATTTCTCTCTCTCTCTCTCGGGCAGAATAAGAATCAGCCTCAGTTCCGGAGCGAATACAACGTTTACAGCACTTTCCAGAGCCATGAGCCAGAGTTTGACTACTTGAAGAGTTTGGAAATAGAAGAAAAGATCAACAAGATTCGTTGGCTTCCTCAGAAGAATGCTGCTCAGTTCCTGTTGTCAACTAACGGTACGTTAGTCATTTCTAATTGACCACACGTGCCCACATATTTAACAGCAATTTGTCGTGACTTTTCATTTCAAATTCATACCGGTGACATTAAAACCATGATTAACAGAGAAACTAAAAATAGCCCCTTTCACACTTCACAGTCAAATGTGAGCAAGAACTGGAATTATGTCAGAAAACGTAAGGAGATTTTTCTCTGCAAGACGGCAGAATTCCCGGGAATCTTCCTGGTAGTTTGAGTATTGATGAGTAGTGTTTTCTGCTGTCTACCTCAAACACAATATCCAGGCTCTCTCTCCTCCCATCACATCACAGTGACGCAGTCATCTCATAGAGGACATGTTACTGGTTCTGTGTGTGGCAGCGGCTTATGGGCATATCTAATGGCTTTATATAGTCTGTGGCTGTAGACCAGCTACTCAAAGACCTTAAGTGCCATTTTTATTTTATTTTTAAATCAATGCCAAAAAGCACTAATTAACCAACAGCTCTCAATTGTCACTGGAGATTCAAAGTTCTCAGAAATATGCAAACTAAAAACATCACGTCCTGAAAAATTCCTCTTAACCTTTCTAGGCAAAGAGTGTTCATCTGTCCTGGGTGCTATATTGTTATTTATATTTATTCTTGTCTTTGACAGATAAGACAATCAAGTTGTGGAAAATCAGTGAACGAGACAAGAGACCAGAGGGTTATAATCTCAAAGAGGAGGATGGACGCTACAAAGACCCCAACGCTATCACGGGACTGCGGGTCAGTCCCTGAACCAAACACAGCCAGACCAGCTTCCACCTAGAACTGAAAATAATCTCTGCACAATGTATTGGATGCTTGGTATATTGAGAGAGCGGTGCTGCCCAATTTAGAAGGTTTGCTTCGGGAGGTAATGCAGACTGCATTTCATCAAGCGTCCGTATAACCACGTGGGCGGGGTCATCTGAGCAAACAGGTTATGTGGTTACGGTTATTCTGGCTCTTTTGAGGGCTCAACCTGGGTGCTGGCAGTTTGCTGAGATCACCAAATTATAGATTTCAAAGAATCTTATAGGAGTACGTTTTCCTGCCTTAACCGGAACAGGTGTGACAAAAAGGAACCGAGTCATCTAATAGGACAAGCTAACTGTTAGCCAAGTGCCGTCTTTATGCTGACATTCCTGAGATCAGCCGAAATACCAATAAGACAACACCTTTTGTGGGTGTGACATGGGTGTGTGGTGGCTTTAACTGTGGCTATCTATCAATGTGCATCTACACAGGTAATAGTTTAGTAGGATCTACAAAATATTAATGGTTGGGCCGCTAACTTGGAAGATAAGCTAAATTTGCACTGACTCTGCAGCCAGTGAGTGCAGCACATCTGTAATCTTCTTATGACCTGCTGTGGAAGCAAATCTCTTCATCAGACTTAAGATTAGAGCGTGTGTTAGTGCTATCTTAGTTAATTAAATACATAGACTACTGCGTGACACACTACATGCTCTGGTAATGAAAGTCTATGAAGAGCTTTGAGACGGACTAGAAGTTTGTGCCACAAGGAGCTTTAAGGGCTTCACAACATCTTCCTGTCTTTATTACGGGTTTCAGATCATGTGCCGTCTGTTCTCTCAGGTACCGGTTTTAATACCCATGGACCTCATGGTGGAAGCCAGTCCTCGGAGGGTGTTCGCCAACGCTCACACCTACCATATCAACTCTATCTCGGTCAACAGTGACGAGGAGACTTACCTGTCTGCAGACGACCTCCGCATCAACCTCTGGAACCTCGAGATCACAGACCGCAGCTTCAGTATCCTTTAAATACTCCTCGCCATTTTTAATCCGTGAAACTCTTCTCTGAATATGAGATTGTCTAACGCCGGGCTGATCTAGGCACCGTCCCAATCACCCAACAGGTTTCTTCCCTAACCCCGCGCTCTTTTAAGACATTGTTGACATCAAACCGGCCAACATGGAGGAGCTGACGGAGGTGATCACAGCTGCGGAGTTCCATCCTCTCCAGTGCAACACCTTCGTCTACAGCAGCAGCAAAGGAACCATCCGTCTGTGTGACATGAGGGCGTCAGCGCTGTGCGACAAGCACTCCAAGTGTGAGTGCCCACTTTGGTCCCTTTTTAATCACCATTCCTCGACAGGTGGCTTAAGTGTGGGATGTGGCTCTCTGGAGGACATGAAAACTAGACATGAAACCGCCGGTCTGTGGAGTCAGCCTGCAGGTTGTTGCCCCTCTCTCCCCTCACCATCATCATCATCATCAGGCCCACATGCCCATTGACATGTTTGTCTTTGTACTCCTCAACTATAAGCCGCATTTTATTTTGTGGATATTACATATCAAACTGATCAGCAAAGTATTGATCACAGAGCCTCACAAACATTTGGACAACTGTCATTGCTAGTTTCAAGCCCAGTGCCCACATTGTGCAAGTAGTTAATATACTTGCACCCATGAGGGTGTTTGTTTTAAGATGAGGTGTGATCAGGTGCATCGCCATCTTGAAACGGCAGAATGAATTGTGCTATTGACCAAACAATACCTGGTCTAAGTTCAAAGGCCCGGGATTTTCCTGCTATTTAAATGCTGCAAAATCCTCTGTCACACATTCAGAGGCTTCCCCCACATGGTTTTTTTCTGATAAATTGTGTCATGAGTGCTGTTTTTACACCTTACCTTGAATGCTGCACACATGGCTCTGTCTGCGCTCAGCGTCTCCTCTCATCCCTCTGTGTGTACCAGTGTAGACGTAGTTTGTGGGCCTTCTCCCCCTAAAGTGCAGCGTTTTAAGGCTGATCTCTTCAGAAATCATGCTCTGCCTCTACGGCATCGCCCGGCTGAATCCCGTGTGTAACGCAGCCTCCGGATTCAGCACCGGCTTGTTCGTGTTTAGCCTTTTCAAAAACAATATTTTCTGCCAGGAGCAGGCCCACCTGATAATGCACTGTGGAGAAACCTGTCTATGCTGCATTCAGACTGCATTTCATCTTCATGTTTGTGTCGTGCTCCTTCCTCTTGTCCAGTATTTGAGGAGCCGGAAGATCCCAGCAATCGTTCCTTCTTCTCCGAGATCATATCCTCCATCTCGGATGTAAAGTTCAGCCACAACGGACGCTACATGATGACCAGAGACTACTTGTCCGTTAAGATCTGGGATCTGAACATGGAGAGCAGGCCGGTGGAGACCTATCAGGTAAGACTGACAGAAGCACAGTAACTCTGTGTCGGGTGTAAACAGGTTATGAGCAATTTATCGTTAGCACTTAGCTCTGCTCTTTGAGAGTCTGGTCAGTGATACTGTAATAACAGCAGCATTAGAGACCAGTTCTTTATTTTTGGTGCTGCACAACAAATGTTACCACACCGATAAAGATGTGAGTTTAACGTCAGCGTCATGCATCACTTGAATTGAACCTACACAAAATGTGATACAAATAATTTCATTTAATATATTTAATTAAAATTCACCTGGGCTAACAGAAATTACACTAAGGTAGTATTTATTATGAATTGTCCATGTGATTGTTACACACTAAACATCATTTTATTCTTATTTCAAATGTAATGACCAATGTGTATTTATAATGTTTATACTGTGTTGTAGATATGCTTCTAATTTAAATATAAAAGCAAAGATTTTCTTTTTCCCCCTCTTTACAAATAGTGGCCACACCTTGTTTTTTTTTTTTTATCTTACTTGTAATTCCACATAGTAACCACTTGGTGGCACCATAAATTCATGGTGTTGCTGCTCTCTGGGCTTTGCACAGACTGCAGTCTTTTCCGTTGTGATAAGCTTCTAGATTATGCGATAAGCACATTGATGTCTAACGTGCACAGTGCGATGCTAACAGCGATGTGCGAGTCTCTTGGTGGCTCTTCACACCTGCCTCTGATCCCTCCAGGTCCATGAGTACCTGAGGAGCAAGCTGTGCTCGCTGTACGAGAATGACTGCATCTTTGACAAGTTTGAGTGCTGCTGGAATGGCAATGACAGGTGAGGACGTGCAGGAGGGCAGACCAACCAACGCCTCGTAAAAAAGACTTTTAGGAATATCTTTGAAGTTGGACAGTGTTTCTTTGCTTTCTTGGTGCTGTGTTTGAAATATGTCACAATTTTTATTTTTACTGACTGTGCCTGCAAATTAGTCATAGTCTTGTAACTATTAACAGAGTTAAATGTGCTGCTTGCAAGACCTAGTTTTAGTAGTCTGAGTTTAAAAAAAAAAAAAAAAAACGTTTAGAAGTGTTGGTAATTTTGAAAAAGTTTCATTAAATATATTTGAATAAAAGCAGCGTATCAATGGTGCATTTACATTAAGCCTGTTTCTCAGATTTACACCTAAAACATGTGGGTCTTGTGATAATGATCATTATTCTAAGGTTGTTCATGTTCAAGGCTCACACATCTGTCTCATGCCTCCTCCCCATCAGTGTGGTGATGACCGGCTCGTACAACAACTTCTTCCGGATGTTCGACCGCGGCCAGCGGCGGGATGTGACCTTGGAGGCCTCGCGAGAAAACAGCAAGCCCATGCAGGTCCTAAAGCCCCGCAAAGTGTGCGCGGGCGGCAAGCGCAAGAAGGACGAAATCAGCGTGGACAGTTTGGACTTCAACAAGAAGATCCTTCACACTGCCTGGCACCCCCAGGACAACATCATCGCAGTGGCGACGACCAACAACCTCTACATATTCCAGGACAAAGTGAACTAACGACGCGGTGAGCTGAACGTGAGATCTTGCGCGGGTAACGTCATGTGTACCCCCACCCCTCCCCCACCCCCCCACCCCCCACCCCTCCCAGCCTCATCCAGGGTGATCTGCTGTAACGTCAACAACCAGCATCCCTGTCCGTCACTACTGGGTGACCAGACTTTGCCACTTTGTTCTAGATGTGGACAGAGGAAGCCTCGCTCTTGCCCATCATCAGCCTGTTCGTGGCAGAGTAACACCTGCCTTGTTGTTTAAGTGATGTTGTGCCAATTTCCCCCCCCCCCCCCCCCCCCCCCCTTTGGTATGGCTTTTTTTGGGGCCAGCCCACCTGCCCTTTTCTTCCCCTGGGGTAACATGGGTAAACAAGTTTAAGTTCCTTAAAATTCTGAATACAGACACCTTTATTTTTATAACTTTCCCCCCATGGCCCTGTGGTAGAAAATGAAAAACACTTAATTAGTATGTCTCCTTCTTGTCCTGTGCCATTGTAGTGTTTATTTTTCTAAGAAAAAAGATGCCACTTTTTTTTTTTTTTTTTGTATACATCTTTTTATTAATTCATCTGTTGTACTGTCATAGTATTCTTTAAGTCTCTTCACATGTCTCCCCTCATTCATTAAACCATGCGTACTCAACAGTCACAGTCCCTGACTCACTCGCCGCTCTCACTGATGGGACAGCGACACCTCAGCGGTGGCCACCGGGAGTCTGAGAAGCACAGTGCACTCATCCGTATTCACTGATTGAGGAGTCCTCCCGCTCACCGCTGCTGTGCCTCGGGCTCTGGGTTGGTCAAATAGGTCCAGACTCAAGAAGACACTTTTTTTTCTTTTTCTTTTTGAATTGGCTCTGTGTCTCGTCATCTTCGTGCATTGGTTCCTCTTCCTCCTTTTGTTTGTGTTCGACAATAGTCAGGTATAAGAGATGGCCTATTCAAAGATAATTATTATGATTGTCATATTTATATTAAAGAGAAAAAAAAGTTAAAATGTCACCAGATTTGTTCCGTCCCATTTTGTGAAATGAAACTGGACCGTACACGTGTTTTTGAGTGATCTTGAGTATTGTCTTCCCATGGTGCACCACAGCTCCGAAGCAGTACTTCGCGACAGGGAAAACCTTTTGATTTGACACTGGACTCTTGCTGCACCAATTTAAGTACTTGGATGTGTTGGAAAATTTAAAAGAAAACATTTGAGGCATTAAGTCACTTAAAAGTGTTTGTTTAAACTACTGCAGACGTTATTACTGCTACTGTGTGTACTGGTACAAGAAGTTGCACATGGATTTGCAGCAGTTGATGTCTCCACACGTATTTAAAATGTGGACAGGTCAGACTATGATGATGCCTCTACTAATGTATAACTACAATTTTAAACTATGACAGTGAAGATAATAAAGGAACTACTTTTTGCACCCTTGTGATTGCCTGATCGTTGATGACATCTCATCTCTGTTCTCGAGCTTTGTCCAATGTGTTCTCCGTGTTGATGCCTCTCAGGTCCCAAAACCATGTAAACATAAACAAGATTTAATTGATTAGAACACCTTCAGCTGTAAAAGAGATGAGGGTTTTAAACAAGGAGTGCCATGCTTCTCCATTCGGGTTCCTGCTGGTTTTCAATCATTAAGAATTGCGAGCACCTGGTCCGTTTCCACCTGGATTGGTGTGAACCCAGCTTGTGGTCTGTCCCTCATCTGACTACTGGACCAAAATGAAAACCACCCGCGCTGGTACCTAACGACCACTGGGGGATTACTGCAAACAGCTGATGTGGTGTCTGGTTGGCTGCAAAAATGTGCCACATTCTCCCCCCCCCTGTCTCCACTGGCACGAGCCGTGTACGTGGTCGCACACACGTCTTCTCCTATATAAGCATCAGCTCATGTCTTGTTTGATGATGTACTTTCGATCAATGATCGATGCTAATAGGTCATGCACGCTGTAGCCCGATTGGATGTGCGTGTTTTTTTCCCCTAACACGTTATGCAACTTCTCTCCCTCTTTTGTTATCGCCGGGACAGTGTGACGTCATCACCCAGCTCCGGGAAGGTCTGAGCGGCTCGCGGGCGCTGCTGCTGCTTCCAGACCAGCAAACGACTGGAAAACAAACCGCCGCGGAGCGTTAGCTTAGCTAGACTCTCTGAAAAACATAAAAAAGTGGGACTTGCGCACGTCTGAATGTGTGCAGATAAGGTTGTGCGCGGTTTGCACTGACTTGAGCCTTTTTTTATGCAACCCGCCCTGCTCAGCAGCCGCTACGATGTCCGACGCTGCTAACGCGGTTACTTCTACAGACAATAACGGAGACTCCACCGGGCTTCACGGTAAGATTAATCACCACATTACTGGACTGGACCAGCCTGTCAAGTGTGTTTTCTGTCAGGAACGGGTCGGGGTTTCACGTGTATGTGTTTAAAACACGTTTTTGAGTGTTCTTAATTATTAAATATAGTTTATTCTCCCAGTTTTGTCTTTTTTTGGCCGCGAAGCTACACTGACAGGGGGGCAAAGTGAGAACGCTATGTTCCGTGTTTATTGACAGTGGCGGAGCCAATGGCGTTGCGGCAGGCTTATGAGACGGTCAAATGAGCCAATCAGCGACTCACGCGAGGAGGTCGAGGTGGGTTTAAGCTCTGTCAACAAGCCGAGGAAGAAACAAAAAAAAAAATGGGTGAAGAGAAATTTCGACCATTTACACGTAGTCGCTGCATTTTACAGTCAGTGATATCTAAAGAAATAGCAGAAACATGACCAGATATCAAACGTTTGTTCCCTCATTAGTCTTTTCATCTTTAAAAAATATCCCTTTTAAAAGTAGTTAAGGATATCTAAATAAATCACTGACTAAATTATCATTTGGCAAATAGCATGTTTCCCACAGTGCGCTCACTGCATCACATGACTATTCAAATAGAACAAGCTACATGCCATATACCTCGGCTTGCTTCAGCCATTAGACACGTAACAAAGGCCTGTTGATGAACCCTGCTGCACTGAGTCTGAGGTTCACTCAGTAAAGTTTTACAACACTCAGTGGGTCCGTGACTAGGCATGCTATTTATGGCCACAGTGACAAGGGGACAGGTGGTTTGGACATGAGGGAGAGGGGGGGCGGGGGGAGTGTTACAGCACTTATTTCAAGAGACGTATGGATTATTTTTTTAATAGGATCGGATAGCCAGTGATTAATAGTTGTGGAGAAAGCAAGTTGCCAGTAATACGCTGGTGGATGGAAATAGTATTCTACCCTCAACAGCATGTTAGCTCATATGAGGTGGAAAGAAAGCAACAAGTGTCATGATGTTCAAGTCTGGTATTCCTCTTGTATATCTTTAAAACAGCCCAACATCATTGTTTTCCCTGCTATATCTACCTCTGGGGCCCCATAATCCCTTGCTGACTGAGCCAGGAATAACCTAAGTTATGAAGTATATGATTCCCTTTAGATTGTATTGACAGCGGCATGCACCAGGACATATTAGGCCATAGCGGTGCATGCTGAGACACCGCTTTAGGGACAATGAGACCATGCACAGATCCGGTGGAGAGGCCTGCGGCGTGATCTGATATGTGAGACTGTTATTGCTGGCGTTTCCTAAAGCTCTCGCATCATGTTTGTCTGACACTTGGGAACTTCGGGCAATAGGGCAGCCTCGGCCCACCTCCCGAGCCTCCGAATCAGTAGATCAAAGAGGTCACAGCGTGTCCGCTTCCTCTAAACCCACCCAACAGCTGATAACCGGCCCTGTGGCCAGAATGTTCGGATGCTCCAGCGCCACGGCGATGTGGTTTTGGAGACAATGGCCTGTCGCCAGCGGCTTGGCTCGCAGTGCGCTGGGTAATCCGCACGATGAGTGCAAGTGCTGAGTCGAGGCCGGTTTTATGGGGAGGGGGCGAGGGGGCATCGTTTGGGTAGTGGGGTATAACTGGCTGGATGCCTGAACTGTGAAACTCAGTCCCCTGAAAGCTCATGTGGACATGGTGTTTACTAACTGTTATGGGGTCATGTGAGCTGCAGGAGGCCTTCCTCTTTTTTATCTTAGTGAGGACAGAAAGAAAAGAGGATTTTGATGAGGTATATTAGCCCCCCCCCCCCGCCTCCAAATACTTGCCCTTGCTGCCCTCCTCTGTAGGTGTAACTTATAACCCGCCTCTGACAAGCCGTGCCTCCTCAGCTGCCTCCATGCCCGAGTTCACGTACAAACAGGGTGGGCGTCGTATATCACAGTCGAGGTCCACAAGACACCACAGCTCACACGCAGACAGGCATTTACTGCCCTTTCACCACACAGCATTATATAGAGCTTTACTCGTGGACTCCTCTGACTGCCAGGCTCAGGCTGTCGTCTCTTTCCCAGATGAAGACAGGAAATCATTTTGACACCTTTCCTCTCTTTCTCATCCAGCCTTCACCTTGGTACACCTGGCAAGACTTTAAAGACCCCAACTGTAACGTTCTCTCCCCACACTGACAGATTTCTGACATATTGTCTGGACTATCACTCTGCAGAACGGAAGAAAATAAGACTAATACTGTCACTACACAAATAATTCAAAGTTTATTTTTCTGAGTAATATATAAGAATGTAGAGTCTGGGTCTTTTTTCCACAATATACATCGAAACACAAATGCAAAAGCGTATGTGCAATTAATATAATGATGGTCATATCTGCTTTATTTGTGTCGGTTTAGGGCTCAACTGTTCAGGTTTGCTCACTGGGACACTTAACTGTAACCCTCAGCTTATTGGAAGCTCCTCCCTCGCCCAAAGCTTCTGATTTGCATATATAATCAAAGGTGAACCTTGTGAAAAACAAATATCAGTGGCGGTACCAAAACATAAGATTAGGTAGGCAGTGCAAATATCCCCTGCTGTAGAGGCACAGGCGGGCTGTTGTTCTGCCAAAAGGTTGGTTAGACGCACCAGAATGAAAAAGAGGACACAGTTAAATGATGCAGCTCATTTGCACACTTTTGGTTTTGGGGCCAAGGTAAGCAAATGGACTGCTCCTCGGGGCATACCGGATCTTGCGCTGAGCAGGATATTGGCTTTTTTTTTTTTTTTACATGACTTTATACTGCCACAACATTGAACATTCGTAGCACTGCTGTTATATGAACAAAGGTTTGATGTTTGTCTGTTTTTCCCCCACAGGGTCCTGGGTGGAGTTGGAGATGAACAGAGGCACAGCCGGAGCAGCCCAGTCGTCCTCCACGGACCCGGGTCTGCTGCCCCTCCCTCAGGTGGAGGAAGAGGAGGCCATGGTGGGGGGGCTGGAGCACGTCCCGTCCTCGTCCTCGATCCACAACGGGGACATGGAGAAGATCCTGCTGGACGCCCAGCACGAGTCAAGCCGCAGCAACTCCTCCTGCGACAGGTAGTGTTGGTGGGGAGTGCTGCTGCATACGTGTAGAAAAGTTGTACAAAGACTTTTGCGGCTCCAGAGGAAGCTGTGTGAAGTCTGATGAAGTTTAATTAGAGGGGTGTAATGAGAGAGAAGTGGCTCAAGGGTACATTAACCGCTACCGGCACAACACACCCACATCTCCAACCGAACCGTCAGTGGTCAAATAGTTACACTATGGGTGATTTAGGCACCACCTTTTTAATAAGGAAGAAGAATATGTGGAAGGAAAAAAATAATATCTCGGGTTCTGCTTCATAGATTTTGATCCTTAAAAGTTTTTGTTAACAATGAATCCAGCAATAGTGCAATGCTAAATCACTGGAGTACTCTCCAGTGTACTGAACCAGACCTCTGGCCTCCTTCTAGTTGTACCTGTTATTGAAAAAAAGAATTTAAATGCAATTTTAAGAAATTAGAGTGCATAAATAACAGAACAAAAGTTTTGAATGTTTATTTAAAAGTGCAATAAACCATATGTAGATATCAAACTCTTTCTTTATCTCTGGGATGCACAAAATAATGGCTGTTATTCTTCCTTTTCTTCCTAACATTAAATCCAGACGAGGGCACAGGAATCTTCACCCTTCTGTAAAAGTTCAGAGAAAGTCACGAGTTCCTGGGTTCATACCAGTCTGTGTGGAAGACTTGGAGCACGTGGTGAAGTTGGTTTCTCCGTTCTAATGTTCCTCTTAACGTTCCCTCAGTGTAGAGCATTCTGCTTCAGAAGTTACATTCTATTTCAAAGCCGAATCACTTCCACGCTGTATACTGAGACATAAGCCTTGATTTGATATAAAGCTCGAGGATCTTTGGAAACTTTTTTTCCACAAACTGTTGTCTCCACTTGTTAACGATGCCTGTATAAAGGTGTGAGAAATTAATTTATGGAATTTGAATGAAGGGATGAGCATATATATTAATATATTAGCAGCTTTTACAGGTCAAGATCGGTGTCAGACGTCTACAATACATTTTGACATAAAGGGCTGTTTTTCACCTGCTCGTCTCACACAACCCATACACTCATTTTAATCTATATAGATGTCTGCACTGGCTTTGCACAGGTAGCGTCTCTGCTCCGTCTCACGGGTGTAACTGTGACTTGAGGTGTTTATTTTGGCTTCAAGACTATTTAAGTCTAAATTAGCCGTGGACAGAGATAGAGACAGAGATGCACACACACACACACGGCCGATCCCATTATCTCCTGGCGGAGATGATAATAATAATAATTTAAAAAAAATACCATTTTACACTACAGCCACCCTGTAGTTGAACATCATCTTGATCCAATCTTGCTCAAAAATCCGTATTGAAACAGTTGTTGTAGTTCAAATGAGAGGACAGCATTCATGAGCGGCGTGAATTTAAACTGAACTTTCCATCCTCAGCGTAGCTGCCCAGAGGGCTGCTCATCTGTTAACCACCCCATAAAAGCTCACGGGGGAAAGTGAAACTTAATAGCCTCTTTTCATGAGAGGCGTTTAATATTGGTCACATAGCTTCTAAACACCCTCAACTTTCCGTAATATGTGGGAAATCGGCCCATTAATCAGGAGTGGCTTGTCTTTCGTAATCGCCCTCTCAGCGTGTTGAGTCAGCGCTGACTCTCACTTGACAGATGCTCAGGAGTCTTTTTCACAGCTTGCCTCCCGATTTACTGAGGACGTGAGAAAAAAACAAACATCCCGACCCTTCAAACTCCCGGCCACATCATTGTGCTCGTGTGTAATAATCCGGGAGGGTTGAGATACAGCAGAGCCTATCAAGAGAGCCGAGCAGTCAGCTGTCAGCGGGTCACCTGAGGATGTTTTTGAGCACTCGAGAACACAGGACCTCTGCATCAACAAGCTGCCCTGAAATAAGCAGGAATGCCAACATCAACAGGGTGCCGTGTGAATACTTATAGAACAACCAAAGTGTCGTATTACACAGATTTAATTAGGAACATGTTGTCTTTACTTGTCCTGCCAAGACACACACACACACACACACACACACACTTCCTCAGAGGTCAGAGTACGGGAGCAGCAGCACTTCACTGCTGGGTCAACGTTCCGTATTGTCCTCGTCGAGGTGTTGTAACGTCACGCTGTAGTGACGACTCAAGTGTTGAACAACAATATTTCATCTTACAGGCTTAAAGGAAACTTATTGGCTCCACTTCCTGAATACATGAAACTCAGGATGAGATTTGTAATCATTGATACCTGTGAGTCAATGATTACAGGTTTTTTAATGAATTTTTTATTTGATTGACCTTTTTTGTTATTAAGTGAGTCATTTCTCAATTTCCAGAGCCACTATGTCGTTGTATGTTTTGGCTGAGCAACCACCAAAAATCTTGGTGCAAAGTGATCCACAATGATGAAAGACGATCTAAAGACCATTATTTGATCATCAGAATAGCCGATTCATTTGACATTCATTGATTAAGTGACTGGTCTTTGCTATTACACCAAAGCCAGTCGGCAAGTGTCTCAAGTACATAATGTAGCCGGAAGTATTGATGAGTAAAATGTTGGTTATTAAAAATAGTATTGTTTACTTTTACAGGGAGTCATGAGTTCAGGACTTTGCAAATAAACGAGGCCTCTGATTTGTTGTTTTTAAACTTTTTGCACACAGCCCCCCGAGGCCCCACAGCCCCCAGGATGACGGACAGATCATCTTTGACGTGGACGTGAGCGGCAGAAGAGACAGCCAAGTAAGAGCTCGTGTGCCTCCATCAGTCTGTTCTCATGGCAACCCCAACCACTGGCCCTGAAGTGGTGTGTGTGTGTGTGTGTGTGTGTGTGTGTGTGTGTGTGTGTGTGTGTGTGTGTGTGTGTGTGTGTGTGTGTGTGTGTGTGTGTGTGTGTGTGTGTGTGTGTGTGTGTGCGCATGAGAATGACAACTGCCGTCTGCCTTTTAGTTTCCATGGAGATGGCTAGCGCGCCCGATGTGGGTTCCTCTTTGTTTGGCCCCAGCATGTGTTGTCACTATTAGTTTCACTCTCTCTGTCTCTTGATCTCTGCCAGGAAAGATGACACACACACACACACGCCATTTAGCAAACTCTGCCTCCAGGCTTTATATCTATGATGACCGTTCTTTCAAGTCAAACAAGACACGGTCTGTATGTTGATGTGTGTGTGCGTGTGTCTTCAGTCAGAAGAGGACGTCTTAGACAAGGAGAGGGACATGGACATCCTGATGAAGGACGCAGACTGGGTTGCTGACTGGTCCAGTCGACCGGAAAACGTTCCCCCCAAGTGAGTCTCGAACTCGGTAAACAGCAGCGATATGTTTCCACGGCAACTGAACACACACAGCTGCTCGTTAGTCATTATCACGATGAAGTTTGGTCTCCAGCACAAATGTAAAACCAGCTGCGGGAAAATGTGCACCAAACGGTTACTCGATGTACAAAGTGAAGCCGTAGTCGTCTGAAGATCGAGCCCATAGAATGATGTACACAACAACAATAGATGTGTTTGGGGCGTGCTTTGCCGTGTTGTGTCTAAAGCGACTGAACATTTTGCAGGGAGTTTCATTTCCGTCACCCTCGACGCTCCGTGACACTCAGCATGAGGAAGACCGGGGCCATGAAGAAAGGAGGAATCTTCTCCGCCGACTTCCTCAAGGTCTTCATCCCCTCGCTGCTGCTATCGCACATCCTCGCTCTGGGGCTGGGGTAAGAAGATAAACAATCTGACAGCAGTTTAGTCAAATGTAGAGAAGTGATTTAACCAACAATCCACATCAATTATGTTCCTTTTATTCCATCTTTTTCATCACTTGACCTCCCCCCCGTTAGAAGTTCTAATGTGTTTTATTTTGAATATAATATTTAGTTGTACGGAAAGGCCACTAAGGGGAGCTGTAGAACCGCAGACTGTGTCCTCCCTCCGTTCATATCGGTGCGGTCGAACTGGCGAAGCAGCTGCCGGACGGAGAGGCTGCACACCTGCTGTCTGGTTGTGACTCCCATGAGCCCTTTCTGCCGGCGATAAAGCTCGTTATGATAATCCCGGTTTCCTCAATCAGATAATGTCACAGTGATGCCTCAGACAGGAGGCCGGTCTTGTACGTGACGCGGTACACGATGAGTGTCGATAACAAAGCTTGAGTCATTAACAAAATCTCTGTCGGCCATTCTGGTAGTTTATACGGTGACATAATAAGTGGCTGTGGGGCTCTCTCTGACATGTAGCTGTTGGTTATGAGAAAAAGGGCTCATTGTTTATTATTGGTATTTGTTCACGGTATTGGTTTCTGTCTATATCAGCTGTCGAAAGCTCTATATATATATATATATATATATATATATATATATCTCCATCCATCCATCCAGTTGCAAAATTAACATCATTTTATCATTTTATTTGATTTGCATCGTAAGGAATGTAAACGGCAGCAACAAAAACCCAACCTGTGAACATGCACGGTGATGTGTAACCTGCTCCCGGTCCTCTCCACAGAGTGTACATCGGAAAGAGGCTGACCACGCCCACCGCCAGCTCCTTCTGAACCTGGAACTGAAGAACAGTGCCTGAGGAGTGGCCACGAGTCGTCGAGGACGTTTTGCTGTCGCGAGAAGAACGGCCGTCTCTTCTCCCTCTGTCCCGCCTGCCCCCCCGCTCCCCCCCTCGTCCCTGAGATATGACATGTTCTCAGGAGAGATGCATCTGCCTTTCTCCCTCTCCCTCTCTCTTTCTCCTCTCCTACCCCCCCCCCCTC